AGGATTGAATTTTGGAGGGCTCCAGCCGGAAAGATTTTTTTTGTTTTTTTTGTATAAATATATTAGGATAATGACTTCGGAAGAAAGAAAGAAACTAACTACCTATATGAAACGGTCTTTAAGTGATTGTTGAAGTCCTATTAAGTGTAATTGTGTGTGAACAATAATACTTTTAAAGATAATTTTTTTCATAAAACATGGTTATATTTTACCATTTTGGGGGGAAGGACTTCAGCCCAAAAGCCCTCCTGTTGATCCGCGAGGTCACTGGCCTTCTCTAGGAATGTTCTTAATGTAAATATATGTAGTTCGCTTGGGTAAAATTTGAGTGAACTTCTTGCGGTGAAACTTGCGAGAAGAGTCATTAAATGACATCAGGTGAATGGAAGTGCTGTAGAACAGTGGCGAGTGTTTGGAAGAATCAAAGCTTGGTGCCAAGTGTTTTAAGGAGACTGTCATCTCTCGGCCATCATTAGTTTGAACCCTGGCTTATTGCGGATTGACATCTATCAGATACACCACCATCTATCAGATACACCAAAGTATCATATTTGCTTAATATTTCCTGCTTCTTCATCAACAGTTTAGATGGAGGCATTAGGCAGGAGGGTAGAGAATAACCATTGGTTTATCTTCGGTTGTGTTTGAACATTCTCTCATGGGGCATCTCATTGATCGGTGTGCACAAAAGCGATCGTATGGAATCCAAAGAGTGGAAGTACAGACCCTCTATGAGATGAATCGAGATTATTTTGCTTAAGAACCAGTGAAATAGTCCGCCTTTGATCGACTATATGGCGAAGACCCGTTATGACCTGCTATACCCCGTGAATGCAGGAAATTTTGGAGTTTCCGAGACGTAAATGAAGTCTCTCTCTCAGTATCAATGTATGAGGGGGGTCCAAAAATTGAGAATAAATCAACGAGACACTCTATAACTATTGAAGAATTCATTTCAGGGTAAGGGTAAGCAACTGGAAACCGTGAAAACTCATCAATCATGGTTAGGAGGTATGTGTTTCTAGTTTGGGGGAAAAAAGAGAGCCTTTAAAATCCATAATAATTTTTCAAAAGGATGAGTAGCCTTGATGAGCTTAGAATTGGCCATATTATAAAATCTTGGCTTTATCGAATTGCACATAGGACCAGATAAAATCATTTTTCGAATCTCTTCAACTGAAAAAGATTGATTATGCTTTCTTACCTAGTGAATCATTTGAGTCACATAGGAATGATAGTAGTCACATGAATATAGTTTGTTAGGTTGAATCGAGTCACATATTCTTCTGAAGGTGTCTGCAACAAGATTATCTGTTTCCGGTCGGTTTATTATATCATAACTGTAGCATGATAACTCAAGACGCCATCTCTGTATCTTTTCGTTTTTTATTTTACTTTGATGTTTTGAATCGATCATAAAGGACACAGAGCGCTGGTCAGTGATTATTGTGAAATATCGTCCTCATAGGAAGTGTCTCCATTTTTTTAATGAGCAAACGATAGCATAGGCCTCTTTCTCAACAGCTGAATGTCGTCGTTCGCTATCGTTGAATTTTTTAGAGAATGCCACGGGACAGCCGGATTGGGAGAACACTGCTGAGATTGAGAAGTCGGAGGTATCCATTTCGACAAAAATGGTTCTTTATCGTCGATGGCACCCATCATTGAATTTGATATCTCATTTTTTAGAAGCTCGAACTGCGAAACAACCTAAGATGTTAAAGGAAAAATTTTAGAATTTAGCAAATATCGAACTTTGTGTGAATAATTTGGGACCCATCTTCAATACTTCAATCGTCATTTGAAGTTCTTTTGAATTATTTGAAGGAGGCAGGCTAAGTAGTTTTTCCAAGCTGTGTGGGTCAGGCGAAATAGTCTAATTCTCTGTCTTATAGCCAAGAAGACTAATAGAAGTTTGAGAAAATTTGCTTTTCTCATGGTTTATCTTGAATCCGTATTTTTTGGCTGCATCCATAAATCGTTTTAAATTATTATCATGTTCTTCTTTGTTTTATCCAAAAAATGTTACATCATCGAGATACGCGTACGTCTTTTCTAACTTTTCTTTGGAAATAACCTCAACCATGACTCCTTGGAAACAAGAAACCCCGTCTATCAGGCCAAAAACTAGTCGCCGAAATTGAGCTAATTAAGCTGTCGTTGTTGGTTTTAAAATACCCAGGGTATCTCAATGGGTACCTGATATCCGATTCCATCAAATTGGATAGAGAATAGAGAGAATAGAAGCACTATACGTATGAGTGAAAGCGAAGTATGAGTGGCTCCAAGAAAAGGTTCTTGAGTTACTAATACCGAATATGGGATCCACTGCCAGCATAGCATTGGGTGCAATCACTAGCGGATCCAGGATTTAATTTTGGGGGGGCTTCAGCCCGGAAGCTTTTTTTTTCATATATATAACGATAATTACGTTGGAAAAACAGAAAGATACTAACTACCCATATGAAATGGTGTTTAAGTGATTCTTGAAGCCCTACTAAATGTAATTAAACGAGCAATAATACTTTAAGACATAATTTTTTTATATTTTTTACCATAAAACATGGTTACATTTTACCATTTTGGGGGGGGGGCTTCAGCCCGAAAGCCCCCCCGTAAATTCGCCTGTGGGTGCAATAGTTACTCCTCCTGCCGCTTTCTTATGTCAGATGGAATGAAAGTGTATGAATCTTCTGCTTTATTTTTATCTTTTAGTAGTTATGCTAGCCTAGCCTAGCCTATCAAGGAGCCATGGCAGTGGTAAGGATGAACGGTATGGAATCGGAACCTTTTCCAATTGCGAGAGGAGTTAGACAGGGAGATAGCTTAAGTCCCCTTCTATTTATAAATGTAATGGATGAAATCCACAAAATCTGTAAACGCCGAACTGCGTGGACAACAATTGGGAAGTGGAATCTGAGAACTGTCCTCATACAAAGCCTTCTATACGCGGATGACATAGTCCTAATAGCCGACACAAAGACCAAACTACAACAAGCTTTGGTAGAGTGGGAGGAAGAGTTGCTCAGGAAAGGGATGCAAATTAACACCTCCAAGAGTAAAGTGCTGGTTATGACAAGGGAAGAGCGAGAAGATGTTCAGCTGATCTGCAATGGCGAGACACTTGAGGTGGTGACTGAATATACCTACCTGGGGACCGTAATTAGTAGTTCTGGTAAGATAGACGCCGAAATATCAAGTAGAATATGTAAGGCGAATCAGGTATATTACCAGACTACTAATAGCATTATCGGCCATCGCGAAGTAGACAAGAAGACCAAAATGCACGTATATAAGTCTGTTTACCTACCTACACTCACCTACGGCGGAGAAAGCTGGACAATGCTAGACAGGCACTCTAGTCGCATAACGGCAGCAGAAATGAGGTTCCTTCGCAGATCTGTTGGCAGAACTAGAAGGGATCGCATTAGGAATGAAAGCATTAGAGAGCAGCTAGGAGTTGCCGAACTTAAAACTACTTTAGAAAGACGGCAACTCCAGTGGTTTGGACACGTCTGCCGCATGAATGAGAATTTGAATCCTATAAGGATATTAGAGGCTCGACCCACAGGAAGGAGACCACGCGGACGCCCCAGACTCACGTTCCAGGATTACATTCAAAGGATTGGATGTAAAAGAGGCAAAACCCTTAATGAGATGAAGCGACTAAGCAGGGACCGGGAAGAGTGGCTGCACTGGTTGAGGCTCCTCGACGCTAATTAATGGCATAAGAGGAAGACAAAGAAGAAGAAGAAGAAGAAGAAGTAGTTATGCTTATCCTCATATGTAGTTATTGCTATTCCATTGATATGTAGATGTTCATTTCTTTTTTTGTTTACATCATCAAGCGATATAACAATGTGTCAGGACTCTGTCTTCTACATAATTTATCTTGAACTTTTATTTCTATTTTTTTTTTTTCACTTCTTATTATTATCCTTGTCTTTGGGCAACATGGGGTTCGGCATAGGCAGGAGTATATCATGGACAATTCCTCTGTCGTTATGCAGTTATAGGTCAAAGAAGTTCATTCATCATAGTACATCGGGGATACCCCCGTCAGCCAACTTGTATCTGGGTGTATCTACGATGAAGTGGTCTAGCACTACTACCACATTCCATACTTTGAAGTATGAGTGCTTTCCTGTCATGTGTAGGGATAAGCGGTTCTCTGTCAGAACCCAGATTCCTGTTTTCCTCCTGTGCTTCTTAGTTTCACTTGCAGTGTAAGACGCTACAACGTCTAAAAATATCTTAGATGCCCAATATACTGCAGGAATAAAAAAATAAAAAACAATTTTTTTGAGGACCAAACATACCATGAAACCATATAAGTACAAAACAACGATCTTTGGGGCCTTTTGATAGAGGGTTCCTTTTATCATTCCATTCGTTGAGGCCACAAACATATTTTGAATATTATAAAAAAAAAAATTTGTGGAGAGGAGGTGGACATTCCATAATACTATAAAAATATAATATATAAAACAATGGCTTTCGAGAACTGTAGCGCTGACTAGGCGACCTGACCTGTGCTTAGTTAATGTCTTTTAAACTTATTGAAAAATTGTCAGTTAAAGAATAAAGGGTAAAGATTTCCACGATTTCGAAAAAAGTATTGCGGTCATTAGAAGGACTGTAGTTTATAAATTTTAAATCAACACAAAAAGTCAATATTACAAGAACCGGTAAATGTAATAAACAGATTTTGAAAAAGAATCATCAGGAACAATGGTTAGAGATTGATATAATATTATTATATTGATTTACAAATTTTGTATTCGATATCAGTTTTAGATATTTTAACTTATGACTCAGTCATAAAAAAAAATTAATTTTCGGAAGGAATTGCCATTCCATTTGATTACTAGAACTTTGTTGAAAGGGTGTAAAACCCCGAATGAAACCCTGATAGTAACCTTCAGCTGTTAATAGATAGCGTTAGTTACCCCGAACATGACTTCAGAGCCGAAGCACTAGAGCTGTTTCCTTCAGAGTGGGTCAGTTGGAGAATTAAGATGGACGTGGGGGGTGCGTATGGTGCCGGAAAGGCAGGAGCGCCTTTTGACCCTTTATTATTTGTAAAAAGACCTCAAGTTATTGTTAAAGGTGTTTGCCTTGTAAGTCTGATGGCTCCTTTTTCATTTCATACCAAATAACTGATATAAATCGAGTCATGAATAAAATTTGGCCCTGTTGACTGGTTATTGATTTTTTGAAGTATCTAAAGAAAGTTATATTATTGAAACGTGTTGTAACCTTAATACTTGTTTTAAAAATAAAACATTATTAAATTGACTTATATTAGTAGTTCTATTACTATTTAATGATATCTTGTTACAAAGTTATACAGATCATGTTTGACTTTATAGAAAAAAATCTCTTTAGTTTCTAAATAGATTTTTAAATTATCCAACTACTTCTTCCTCCACTCATTTTCTTTTGGGCTCTGATTATTTTCAATATTTTTGATCAAAATTAACTGTACCCTCTACAGTATTTTAATGTTATTTTTACATGCTATTTTTATTTTTCAAATCTTCAAGAGGATTTCTAAAAAAGCAATTTTACGGGTTTTATTACAAGATTCATTTTTTATACAAAAATCTTAATTTGGCTATCATCTCATATTGAAATTCAATGACCCAAACCATTAAGTTTCCTAGACACACCTAGTCAGTTGTATATCATTTTGACACTTGGTTAGATACAAATCAAGAATATATAAATCTTTAATCATTAAAGACTCTGCTATGAAGGAGATGTGCATGTGGTTTATAATCTTTTTTAAAGAATATTCACATTATTTTCTACTTTAAAATTAATATTAAATTTCTAAATATTTTTTTTTAAATATTATTAAATTTCTAAATATAATTTTAAATTAATATTAAATTTCTAAATATATCTTACCAATTTTTAGTTTTTTGGTATAATTGTCTTCTGCTGTGTATCTGGAGCATGGTATGCTGACATTCAACTACAAAGAGAAGTGTGTCTCTATAATAAAAAGTCTAGTCCATGCCACTATGGGGAAGCAATCGGTTTACTTGCTTTTTTTGCATCTCTTGGTTTTCTTGGTGGTGAATATATGTTTGGACAGATGTCATCTGTTAAATCAAGGAAACACTTTGTTTTAATAGACCTAGGATTTTCAGGTAAGTCATTTTAGATTCAATGAATAATCCTTTCTATGGAAGTCTGTTTTATTATTATTTCATCCAAAATAAAATACACATTTTTATTATTATTTTTTAAAATTTAATTTACCTTTATTCTTATTATTAATTGAACCAAAACTTTGTTTTTTAAAGATTTTCAATTTATTTTCTGATAAATCAGTTATGACTAATTGTAATTATTGGTATCCAAGACTAAGTATATGACTGCTGTTAAGGTATTTTTTACATCATCAATTAAGGGGATCTAAAAACCAACATAATCCATATAATTAGTAATCTAAATGAATTTTATTATTTTAATTTATATAACAATACTTATAAATCACATATCTACATAGTGAATCTCATCTTACTCATATATAGTAAATTATCAATTATCTTTTAGAAAGGTTTGTTTAATTTATTCATAACTTAATCTTCAATTTGAAACTGTTTCCATCCACTTCTTATATATTCTATTTTATTTCATTTTTTAATAATAAAGAGAAAAGAAATGAAGATTTGTTCTATATAGGACAGAATTGTCATTGATACCCAATTTTTTTTATTTATCTCTTCCCCTCCACTGCACTGAGAAAATATTTGAGCTCTTGTCTATTTTGTCTAAGTCTGTCAGGAATCTTATTAATTTTAAAGTAATGTTAATTTTTTTTTTTATTTTGATTTGTTAATGTAATAATCTGTTTTAGTTACTTATTATATCAGCATTAATATATTCTTTTTTTTTATTTTATTGTTTCCTTTGTTGCCCCAAGACTTGCATTGAGGTCCTATACGGCAAAGGCGGATCTACAGAGGGGGAGGGGCTTTCGGGCTGAAACCTCCCCCAAAATGGTAAAATATAACCAGGTTTTACAGAAAAAAATATTAAAGACTATCTCTTAAAGTATTCTTGTTCGTGTAATTATATTTAATAGGACTTCAAGAACCACTTAAACACCATTTCATATAGGTAATTAATTTCTTTATTTTTTTTCAAAGTAATTATCGTTATATGTATATGGAAAAAAAATCTTTCGGGCTGAAGCCCCCCTCCCCCCTCCAAAAAATTAAATCCTGGATCCACTAGTGCTATATGGCTAATAATATATTCTTTTATGTGAATCACTGTAAGCTGAGAATATTATATTTTTAAATTGTTTTTTAATTTATACATTCCCTCTTTACCATGTTACCCACAGTAATTTTATTGTTTCGTTGTTGTTGATTGAAGTTATTGAGTATTACTTAAGTTAATCTAAATATTGTACCATATTTTTATTGAAAGAAAAATAGATCACATATTTAGAACTCAAATGAAGCTACAAAGTTTTCAGTTCGAGTATTTTTAAAGTACATTTTTGTTCTCTTATTTATCCGTCGTGAATATTTCAGCAAGTTTTTGCTGAATGGGCATTACTCTTTTAATATGGGGATTCTTCAAATTGTACTAAGTTTCTAAAGATTTTATCAACTGTAACCCTATCAACTTCGATACTAGTATACCATATACCAAAGCTCTTGTTTTTCTCTCAAAGCAGGGTTGCCCATCTCCCCCAAGGTTGATGGTCTATGTATGGGGTGTCCTCCCCTCTCCAAACATTTTTCTCCTCTTCTTAAAAATGGGGCAGGCGGAAGTAGGATTAGACAAATCGTAAATCATATACAATTACACTTGTTGTGGTCTGTCCCATGTTTTCCTCCTGGTACTCTGTTTTGAAACTTTTCACTCCAAAAATTCCTAGCTCCATCGAAATGTGTCCCCGTCAAAAGTTTTGATGGCACAATTTGAGCCATGAAACCCCCTTCTGGGCACCTCTGTCTCAAAGTTTGAACAAATGTTGAATTTATTTTTTTTCATTTGAATCAATCTGTGGTACTTTTAAAAAATAAAAATCTTCATTGACATATAAGTTCAACTTAGTCAGTATATCATTAGTTTGGATTTTAAACATTTTGATTTCTTTTATGCAATAGCTTGATTCCTGCTATTTATTTTATAGATCACTATGAAAAAGTCATAATTTGATTTTTATATTTGAAATAAAAAAAATTCAAGTCACAATATTTGTTTTTATAATTTGTGTATGAATATCTTTTTTTCTTAATTTTTTTCTTTTTACATGTATATATAATATACATTTACATGTATACATAATATATATATGTATGTATATAAATATACAGGGTGTTCCCCAAGTGCATATTAATTAAGTTGAAGTTTATTAAGAACATTTTTGAGATTCACCTCAAGTTATGTAAAGAAATGATGTGATATCCCATCTAGTAACCCTAAAGTACTCGTGTTTTCTGCAAAAAGCTCATTAAAGGAGGAAGTTTTTGTAAAAGTGGGGTTAATGTAGTAAAGTTAAAGGGCGATAAAAAAAAATCAAATAATTTATGACTTTTTTTAAAACGAAACTTAGCTTTGATCCGCCCAATAGTCCTCTTTGAATAGTTTTAACAATGACAAACTCCACTTTCCTTTATAGTAAATTATGTCTAGTTTACTATGGAGCAATATTAAGTTACTTAAATCAAATATTTTGTATGTTATTGTTTCCTATTCAACAAAAAACGTGACTCACTTAAAAAAAAAAACACAAATCTTGAAATTCCTACTTTTCTGCTGGAAATTGGGCAATCATTTAGATGAACTTTTTTGTAGATCTTGATGTCTACTGTCAACCTTTTAAATATTTCCCTCTACTTAAGAGACACCCTGTATAATCCTTAAGCTGAAAGTCAGTAGTATTTTCTCAGTTTATAAAAAGGATGTGAAAATCTTTATATGGAACTGTACATGTCACAGTTTCAGCATGTTGGTGTTAGGCTGCTAAGTGCATGCGCACATATGAAATTGCACATGAGGCTTTGAGGAGTCATGACACTCTCCGTTTTGCACTGCTGACCTTGGCATGTTGTTGCAATTTTATTATTTTTCTACTTAGTTGTACTTGCAAATCGTATACCATAATCTTGTAATTTATAAATTTTAGAATTAGATTATTATACCAAGAACTGTTCTATTTTATTAATTTTTTTTCATGTTTTTTAAATTTTAGATAAAACTGTAAACATGACCTTATATCCATTATAAATAAGTTCTGTGACTGTTATTATTTGAAATTTTGAAAGCCTAACAGCACATACTTATTTGTAATACTACTATTTAACATAAAACTTAATTTGGTTGTAAGTGTGTAATTTCATCTGTTCTTGAAACTTGGCACCATGTTTTATTTTTGATTAGAAAAGTAAAAATTTTTTAATAACTATTATTCTTTTCATTGCGATATTGGGAGAAAAATTTTAGTAGGTTAAAAAAATCATCAGAAATAATAGCAGTAATATTGATATATGTTCCATAGAAAAGTTAAATATTTTTAAAAAATTAATACCTAATATATTCAGTTGTATAAGGTATTGGAGAGTAATGAAAATAATAAATTAAAATTTTTGTAGTTAATAATGTTTACTTATATTTTATTAAATGAGAAATAAATGTTTCCATAGAAACTAAATGGAATTTGCATAAGAAAAAAATCCGGTGCGCGCAACACACAACTTTCACTTACTCTTTGAACTGTGAATAAAGATTATTTTCTGGTCATGTTAGGCTATTATAAAATGTTTTAAATTGCATTTTAAACTGAGCTAAAGCTAAAAAACACAAATGCTATTAAAATAACAAAAGTCCTATTTATTATATCACCGGTTGATTATGGATTGTACGATTCGTTGATTATGGATTGTTCGATCCATTGATTATGGATTGTACGACTATAAGTCATTAAACTGTTATTTTCCATTGCAAAGTTTATTAAACCGGAATTAAGAGATTTGCAGTGTCTGTCATAGACAGGTCAAAAGTTGTCACACTAATTGTAAGTGGATTCTGTTGGAATATAGCAAAAAGAAAAATGATCAAACTATTCACTAATTTAATTTTCTAAAAGGTTACATGATGATTTTTTGGAATAAACGGACGATATATATCTAAATATTTAAATATATTATGAGATCTAGAGTTATTAAACTACAGTAAATATATTTAGGGTTATAAACGTATCTATGAAATATTTTTGTATTTCACTTCTTTTTTCACACAAGTACAATGAAATGGTAGTGGAATATCACAAAGGGAAGATCTATCGAATTATTCACTAATTTAGTTTTCTAAAAAGTTATATGACAATATTTTGGAATTAACTTTAATACCTAATTATTTATAGAGAAATACTTTATTAAAAGTAATGCTGCCCTACTACATAGGGTTGCTTCGTACACAGCATACTTATCAATCCATACGGACATTAATTTTATATTATATTTTTCTTTTTTTTTTCTCCCCCTTCATAACAATACTCTTACAAATTATCAACAATAAACCATATTAAACAATAGACATAGCATAATAAACACTTTCCCAAAATAAAAAAAAAATCCTTTTTTCTCTTTAAATTCTCAAACGCCAGGAACGCAATATAACATCGCACACATATATAACACAGCAATTCCTTGAATGTAGCCAAAAAGATAAGACGATTATGGACCAATTTAAAATTTAATGAATAATTACTAAACTACAGTAAATGTATTTAATATTATAAACACATGATTTATACATCCATGAAATGATTTTATATTTTATTTCTTCTTTCACACAAGTACACTGAAATAGTTTTTTTAACAATGCCATCAACTTCCTTAGGTGGATTTTAAATACATTAAAAAAAAATTAGCATTACCTTATTAACACATTCAAAATTCAAAAACCGAAACAAAGGATATAACCATTGCAGCAGAACGTATTAAAAAAAAACTAGAGACCATATCTTATCTCCTAATTGTCCGATTTTAACGATTTTTTTTTTTGTTTTTTAGGCTATTCCATAAACTTTTAGAAAACCATATACAACATTCCCAAGAAAGTGTATACTTTTTGAGTTATTCGGAATTTAATTTTACCATCCCTCGTAACTTTTTTTCAGCTT